GGGAGTGGCCACTGTACTCCAGTCTGGGTGACAGAGTGAGATTCCAACTCAAAAAAAAAAAATCTGAAAGGGGCTGGGTGTGGTTGCTCACACCTATAATCCCAGCACTTTGGGAAGCCAAGGTGAGAGGACTGTCTGAGCCCCTTGGTTCGAGACCAGTCCTGGCAATCTGGCGAGACCTTATCTCTGCAATAAATAAAAAAACTAGCTGGGCATTGTGGCACGTGCCTGTAGTTCCAGGTATGTGGAAGGCTGAAATGGAAGGATCACCTGAACCCAGCAAGTTGAGGCTGTGGTGTCCGTGAGTGTGCCACTGCACTCCAGCCTGGGTGAAAGAATGAGACTCCAACTCAAAAAAAAAAAATCTGAAAGGAAGGAGGTCAGGCATGGTGGCTCACGTCTATAATACCAGCACTTTGGGAGTCTGAGGTGGGAGGACTGCTTGAGCCCAAGAGTTGGGAGACCAGCCTGGCAACATAGTAAGAACCTCATCTCTACAAAAAAATCAAAAAATGTGGCAAGCATAGTGGTGCAGTGCCAGTTACTCAAGAGGTAGAGGGAGAAGGATCACCTGAGTCCAGGAGATTCAGGCTGTGGTGAGCTGTGATCACACCACTGTATTCCAACATGGGCAACAGAATAAGACCCCGGCTCAAACAAAGAACAAAAAAACAGAACCTGAAAAAAGCTATTAAAAACTCTTCCCTATTTCAAAAATTGTATTCTTACAGTAGTTAAATTTTCCAAAACCTACTTGCAAGAACTTTCATAGCAAGTATAGGCAAACATTCAGCACAAGGATAAGCAAAGCACTGATAGCAGGCATTTATCAGGCCTGGGAAGCAGGGGATGTAATGAGAAGAGAGGTGCTTACCAGTCCTGTCCGACTGGGTTTGCTGCTCACAGAGGAGGCCACTGAGCTCATGGAGCTGAGGGAGGAGGCAGATGGGCTGCGCTTCAGGCTGGCGGGTGTGGTCGCCATCACTCGCCTCACTGCAGCAGCCTTGGCTTTGGCTGGTGTGGTGGAAGGGAAGCCAATCTTGGTAACTTTGTGGACAGGGGCAAACAAGCCATATTTGGGTTGACACTGAAAATACCTTTAGAGAACAATAATAAGAATAGTAACCAAAAATTAATTTAATTTCAAGTAGTATCAAACTTAACTAAAAGACTCTCTCACCTCTTAACTAGCTTGCTGGAAATTCTAGCACTAAACGGGGGTTATGTACAGTATGCAGCATTCACATGTATGTAAGTTGATAAATAACCTCAATGACGTTTTAAAAAACACACTAATAACAATATGATACACAGAATTGGGACTACTAATTTGTTGCTGAGGTTCTATGTGAAGGGAATAAATATTTCTATCATCTGATGTACAGCAGAGGAGTTTAGCAAATATTAATCCCACTTAATAAAACCATGCCAAAAAAAAATAAATCAAACAACCACTTAACTATAGCAGATCCATTAAAGAAATCATGGAGAAATATTAACTGTAGTTTCGGGTATCAGACTGTTATGACTCTCAAGAATTATAATGCTTTAATATTAAGAAAGTATGGCTTGGCTGTGTACGGTTCATGCCTGTAATCCCTGTGCTTTGGGAGGCCAAGGCAGGAGGATCACTTGAGCCTAGGAGTTCAAGACCAGCTTGGGCAACAGAACAAGACTCCAGGTATACAAAAAATTTAAAAATTAGGCCGGGCTCGGTGGCTCAGCCTGTAATCCCAGCGCTTTGGGAGGCCGAGGTGAGTGGACTGCCTGAGCCTGCGGGTTCGAGACCTGCCTGGGCAACTTGGCAAGACTTCATCTCTACAACAAATCAAAAAATTAGCCAGGCGTGGAGGCGCGTGCCTGTAGTTCCAGCTACTTGTAAGGCTGAGGCAGAAGGATCGCCAGAGCCCAGCAGATCGAGGCTGCGGTGGCCAGGAGCGGCCACTGCACTCCAGTCTGGGCGACAGAGTGTGAGACTCCAACTCCAAAAATAAAAAATAAAAAAAAATTAGCCAGGCATGGTGGTGCACGCCTATAGTTCTAACTACTCAGGAGGCTGAGGTAGGAGGATCACACGAGCCTAGGAGTTTGAGGTTACAGTGAGCTAACATTGTGCCACTACACTCTAGAGCCTGGGCAATAGAGACATTGTCTCTACAAAAAAAAAAAAAAAAAAAAAAGCAGCCAGGTGCAGTGGTTCATGCCTATAATCCCAGCATTTTGGGAGATGGATGTGAGCAGACTGCCTGAGCCCAGGGGTTCGAGACCAGCCTGGGCAACTTAGTAAGACCTCATCTCTGCAATAAATAAACAAATAATTAGCTGGATGTGGTGGCCACACCTGTAGTTCCAGCTACTTGGAAAGTTGAGGCGAAAGGATCACCTGAGTCCAGCAGGTGGAGGCTGCAGTGGCCGTGAGCGTGCCACTGCACTATGGCCTGGGTGACAGAGTGAGACTCAAAAAAACAAAAAGAAAAAACAAAACCAGGAAGGATGGCTTCTTAATCACTGTACTACCAAGAGGTTTTTATCTCAAAAGAGTCATTATTATTGTATTTGGTAGGTAAAGCCTATATGTGTATAATCAGCTTGTATATGTTTTATAAGTAAAATGTTAACTATAAGACTTTAATAACCATGTGAGCATTAATGTTCTGTATACTACTACTACTAATGCATCACGTACCCTATCTGTGCCCAAAGTCTCTAAAACATTTTGAAGATATGTGGGCAATCCCTCTTATATTCATTTGCATTATCTGAGTCCCATCCTATGTCTGGGAGGAGAGACTGAGGTTATCCTTCCAGTGGAAGAGATCTTCTTGCCAGTCTGTTTCTCTTGCTGCAGGAAGAGTTTTTTGTTTTGTTTTGTTTTGTTTTAAGAGACAAGGTCTTGCTATGTGGCCCCAGGCTGGTCTTGAATCCTGACCTCAAGCAACCTTCTTGTTGGGAATATATGCACATGCCACCACACCCAGGGGGATTCTTGTCGGACATATTTAAAAGTTATTTTCCTAACAAAGGTAATTCTCCCCAGACCCCAAACCCTGATGCCCTGTCCCCACCTCTGGGCACTCAAGTGTTCTTTCAGAGGTTGACGGCTTTCAAAGGGAGAGAAATCAAAAGGATAATATATTTCCTTTCTATTTAAAAAATAAACTGAATGTGTGGCTCAGAATTTAATCAGACATACTGTACATTACTAAAGAGACTACCAAAAGAACAGCTCTAATTCCAATGAAAAAGAATCAGTAGACACATTTTAGAAAAGTGAAACTCTTCAAAAGATTCCTTTCCATTTTATTATGACATCTTCTTGAGCATCTTCACATGCATGAGTGAGACTAAACCAACCTTGTTCCAGCTACAGCACCATCGTTCTTCCCAAGAGGCTCATCTAACTCCACACCACACCACTCGCCCTTGGCAAAGTCTGTCTCCCCGAGGAATCGGACTACGCCAGCCTTAGTGCCACCAACCTGGAAAAAGAAAATCAAAATGAAGAGATGAATATAATTCTTTTTTTTTTTTGAGTTGGATTCTCACTGTTGCCCAGACTGGAGTGCAGTGGCCACTCCCGGCCATCGCAGCCTCGACCTGCTGGGCTCCAGCAATCCTTCCGCCTCAGTCTTCCAAGTAGCTGGAACTACAGGTGCGCGCCACCACGCCCAGCTAGTTTTTTTGATTTATTGTAGAGATGAGGTCTCGCCTGCCCAGGCGGGTCTCGAACCCGCGGGCTCAGGCAATCCACTCACCTCAGCCTCCCAAAGGCGTGGGATTACAGGCTGAGCCTCCGAGCCCGGCTAGAACCTTCATTTTAGAAAGATTCCTGGCTGGGCTCAGTGGCTCAGCCTGTAATCCCAGCACTTTGGGAGACTGAGGTGAGT